TGTGACAACCTGGCTCAACAGAATGAGATCCTACCTCAAATTCACACAAGTATAAAACACCAAGCGTTGTCCACTTTTTGTGCTGTGTCGTTCTCGTGCTAGCCAATTGCAAATTCTTGGGCAAACAAATTGCAAAGGCCCACGTCCCTCTCCTTTGGCATCTTTCTCAACCTCTGCTCCATCCTGGTCCATGCGACGGGGCTGCCAGGAAACAGTCGATCGGAACCCGCTAGATGCAACAAGCTACAGATCTTGCGCTAGGGCATGCTTAATCTCTACACGCCGCCAATAGCTAGGTGGTAGGCCACAGAATACCACTCCCTGATTGCATGTGAAAGGCCGCCTTTGGGCCATTCTCTTCAGCTTGCGCGCGGGGATGAACAAAGAAAAGCCTGAGTTGCTCTTCCGTTGACTATCTGCCAACCATCCGACAGATCTGCCAGCCATCTATCAACGATGTCCAAGCCCTCCTCTTGCATCACTCCTGAACCGTTCGAGGTGACATCTGCCCTCATGCAGCCCAAGCAGCCAGGAGGGTATCAACACAATACACCTCGGTCCGATTGGCAATGCATATGAAAACTTGCACTGTTGTCTCTACTGGAAGTAGGCCTCAGTAGCTTTTCCTGGCACAGTCAATGCAGCAAAGGCAAGTCTCAGGCGAGCACATCCACTGACACTGCGTGCAGCGAGCAAAAACTTGGTCAAAGTTAGACTTCGTTTGGTCCTGCAATGATCTTGTTCACTCCGGGACGCATGATGTTTCACAAGTCGTTGTGACAACACGTCGGTTGCTGAGTTTCAAAGCGCGCACTGACTTCTATCAACCATGACGAAAGAGTGAACCTGATTGATGCGCTAGACTTGCGCGGCCTCGCTTCACGAATACCGTTCAGCTATCACCGATCACGAGGCTGTTGGGTGTCTAATAAGTGTCTAATGAATAGGGACAAAGGCCAAGGGGCCAGCACCTGGCAGTGCAAGCAATGTGGCCTGGCCTGTCCTTGCTGAAGGCGCACGCCATCTGGAAGGTGCTGTCCCAGCTCAGGGACCTGGAAAAAGAAATGGTGGCCGCCTGTTTCACGATGGTGTTTCTTCATGTCAGCACCTGATATTCCAAGTGGTTGTTGATTCCCAGTACCAGCAGGAACTGGGCACAAAGATTCAGGAACAGGGCACGATCTTTTGCCAGGGCACACGAGGAAGCAGCAAACCTCCGACAGAAGAGCAAGGAAGCAGGACATCCCAGGCATCTTCCTTGAATGTCAGGGGATGATGCCCCAGCAACAGAATCAGACATTGCAGGAACTGTAGGAACATGTCAGAGCACGTATCTTGACAGCTAGCCAACCATTGGGTTTCGGTTTTCTGTCAATGAAGGAAAGCTCTTATGGAAGAACTCTTGGAGTGACTTGTGTTTTTGTGAGTCATGATGCACTTAGCAAGTCACTGGCAGATCATGGTATTTACCGAGGCTGCGCTCCTCTCTCTCTCTCTCTTTCCATGAATTGGTTTGCTCGACGATTCAGCCTCAAAAACCACGGCCAAGCCTCTCGCACCAGAGATTAAATAGCAGGCTGCAAGCAAAGCCTATGCCAGTCATGATCATGGCGGTGTACATCTCTCCTTTCATGACATCTCCTCAAGACAAGGCCAATGAGGAGGAACCCTTGCTTGGACTAGCCTGGATGGATGACCGCACTTGTTGAAAGTTCAGTGTGCTTGGAAGAGGGAGAGAGAGAGAGAGAGAGGGGGGGGGGACAAGATACAAATGTAAGGCCCTTGGTAATGCGGTGTCCTTCAAGTGCCCTTAGCTTTTTTTTGTCCCTCTCTTTCTTCCCTCGTTTTATGCTTGGAAACATCCTGACCGGAACTTCTCAAATGTGCCCCCGGCCGCTTCGAAGCGGAAAGAACCGAAGGAAACCCCCAAGAGCCAAACAGTCCTAGAAGTGCCACTGATCGCGGCCTTCCCGTTCAGAACAGGAGTGTCCTGCCTTCTATTATGTACCATGATTTCAGGGGTCTGGGAGGACATCCTTGTCCAGAACAACGGCCTGCAGGAGCACCGTGACAAGCATCCGGCACTGGCCAGCTCACCCTGCATCAAGATGCCATAGTCAAGCCACTTGGCACAAAATAAGGCACACCATGCTGATGCAAAAGCCTGAGAGCGTAAAGCCCTGGCCCACCTAGAAGGCTTCATGATTCCTGATGATACATGCTGGCTCTCCAAGAATATGTCGCCCCTGTCTGAACCTTTCTCTATTTTTTCAGTTGCTGTTCCTTGAGTTTCGTGCAGTGGTGATTCACTATTGTCAGGAATGTGCCTTGCCAGCTTGAAAGCCAGCCTAAAGGTTGCAGCTGGGCGGCAAAAATGCGCGGCATCAACGATAGGATTGCAAGGGCGTGATGCATCCACATGGTCATACCGGACGTACCTGTCTCAGGGCAGGGATCGTAAAAAATGAGGGCCGGCCTCTGAAACAAAGCAGGATATACTGAAGGACTGCGTGCGGTGTCACCCCCCAGGGTTCGACAACTTGCTAGAAGTCTTGAACATCTTGCCGGGCATGACACACCCAAGTACCAGCAGCACCTTCGGCAGGTGCTTGCACCAAAGAGAAGGCTTTTTCCAGCAGAATCATCAGCAGGAGGAAAGGCAGCGTCACAAAGAGATATGCAGTTTCCTGCTCCAGGGCAGGGTTTGCAAGAATAGTATCACGTCAAGTGGCTGCAAGTCTCGAAAAGCCAAGTCTCCGAGTTCTTGTACTCGGATCTTTGGATTTCCGAAAAGTGAGGCAGTCGCCCTGCAAGGACAAATCGCCAAAACCTGGAACGACCACTTGGCAACTCGGTTGAATGTGTCGGACATGGAGCCCATGGCACCGGCACAACAACGCCGTATTGAAGCTCCATCAGTACGAGACTGCAATAAATCCTCCCTAGGCCCTAGGCCATCACACTTCAAGAGTCTATGAATGCAAATCTCCAACCTGAGCCTCTCCATTTCACAAGCTGTCTGGTCCTGTAAAGAGTCTTCTGCATTGCACAGATAACATTAATGCCAGCCAAACTTAAGGTGGCAACTGCAAGAGCGTCAGCGAGATAGTCATTGACACGATGGTGCTGTCACTTTGTCGCCACTTCTCCTCCCAATCGCTGAGAAGGGTTGTACCATTGGTCAGTCTGTGGGGCCACCTCACTCGACCTAACGTACCTTCCAACTCCAGATGCCCAAACAGAGTTGCTGATTTTGTGGCAGGCTAGTTGCATTAAGGGCTTCATTTGGGATGGGTGACAAAGAACTTTCTGGCCTTCAGCTCGTCATCCGCGTCGCTAACCTGGCTTGCTCACAAATGACTGGAACGGCATTTGTAGAATATGTCAGTAACTACAAGCACTGGCAGGCCTTGCTTCGCAAGAAGCGAGCTGTGCTGAAGACGAAGGCTAAGATCAGAATGGTGATGCAAACCAGGCCAAAGCTGGCAGCTGGTGACGCTGTCCACGAAGGAGCTTCCTGCCAGAGCAGGAGGCTGTAGTTTCTCCTCTAGAAGAGGCTTCAAGGATCTTCTGGCTAGCAGCTACCACGTCCAGCAATTCTTCGTACATACTCCACAGCACGCCTGCCAGCTAGCAAAGGCATCTGCCCCCAGCATACCAACCAACTGTGCGCCAAAGGTGTAGGTGACGGAAACAAGGACCTTCCGTTGCCTGCCCCAGGTCACATCGTAAAGAATTTGGAAAACTTGGCATGAAGAAAACAGCCAGGAATCAATATTCTAGAATGAAGGATAGTCGGCACGACGACTGTTCTGGCATGCTTTCCATTGAGGATTGGTGGGTCGAACTCTTCAGTGCACCCTACTAAGCCCACAGTCACCTGCCAAGGACAAGCAGGCTCTGTTGAAGAATGAGGCTGAGAAAGAAGCGTAGCAAGGCTACCTAGGAAAACCAGAACAGATCGTGCAGTTGAAAAGCACCAACCACCCAAGTAGGCCAAGTCGCACCCTTTGCCCCCCTACACGTCTAGCAGTCTAGCACAACTCCCCATTCATTCCTTTCGATTGGCTGATTGGCTTCTGTGAGTGCTGAGAGGCCAAGACAGCCCCCGTGCCGCTGTGTGCCATTGCAGGCATTGTGCCAGTGCCTCTCCTCGTGTTTGCAGCAGTTGGATAGCTACATCAAAGCAACAGCAACGGCTCGTCTTCAAGAGCTGCCACCTCTTGGAAGACATCGACACAATGAGAGCAGATCTGCGCCTCAGGCCTTTTATTGAAGCCTCCTCTGCGACCATCTCATCTGTAACCATCAGGTTGGTGATTTCTCCTCAGGATCACGGCAGGATGAGCAACTTTCCCCCTGCAATCTCAAGAAGTTTGCCTACCCAAAGGCTCACATAGAAGGCTCAAACTGGTCTTGTCGGCTCTCCTCCAAGTGTTTTGTGCCGACATGATGATCAAAACCGAGTTGCTCACAAGGTAATACACGAGCAAAGCACTGAAGAATGAGAGACAGGAATTCAGCGTCTTCCAGGTGGCCTTGCCGGGCATTTTTGTTGCTCCTACCCTTACTGGCCTTGATGAAAAGCAATGATCAGCTCTGTGACTCTGTGATGTGTGCATTTGCACATGTCTACCGGCATCAGTCGCCCAAAAACCTCTGCATCATCCAAGCCTGCTGAAGTGGTGGATGGTTGGCTTGGGTGAGGCAGAAGAGCCCCATGAAGGCAGTGGTCATCCCCATGATGATTGTCGCTGCAGCCTGGGTAGTGAAAATGAAAGCTGGTCCATTAATTTGATTTAATTGTATCCATGATCTCGGTGCTTTTGCAGCATGTTGCCAACGTATTGCTCGAGATACTATCGGAACATCATGGTGGATCAAGTGCCCTCTATATAATAAGTTCCACGATGCCGTAAGCCGTAAGCCTTTCTATATAAAGGCCTCAAATATCAAGAGCCCACTAAAATCACCATCTTCCACATTGCACAGGAGCTGAGGCTGTTTGAGCGCTGTAGACCACTGCCGGTGGGCCCTCAGCCTTGGACGACGAGAAGGCAGCCACTAATAGCAATGGCTTGCTTTCTGCTAGCAATGGATTCCAACCTAATACAAGCCTCTATGACATTCATATGAGCGAGAAATCACCAAAAAGAGCTCATTCCCGAAATCACCACCAAGGCCACCAAGGGACGGAAAAAGGCTCCTCGGCGGTGATCTTAGCCCTCTTGCGAATTTCTCTCCAAAGGCCAGAGGAACTATCAAAGTCGCCTCAGCACTGTACCCATGCATTGGATGGGTAGAGTCACCGGGACTGCCATCAAAGCTTGGCCACTGGAAGGAGACTGTGTGGATTGACTTGCTGCTTGAGAATCTGCCTGGCAGCAAGGTGTCCCTGGTCCACATCAGCTTGCTCCAAATCAGGGTGTGGTCTTCTTTACATTCAACAAGAGTCACCATCACCTGGTTCAAAAATCGCCTGTAAAGCCTCGAGTTGCGTAGTAGCTTTTTCGTATTCCCAGGAAGCCCACACCCACGAGGTCTTTATTGTGTGCTGTTCTATCTGGTTGCGCTCGCATTGCTGGTAGTGAATGAGGATTCTCTGGCAATTGTGTACATTGACTCATGCTCGCCCCACTTGACTATAGGTACAACTCGGTACAGCTGCTCTCACCAGCAAAGCCGTGGAAAAATGATGTAGGCTACATCTAGGACCAGTAAGTTGAACATTGAGGAGCGCATCAGTATCGCATTGCGCGTTATTCTCATTTCGATGCACACTCAGTACATTTTTCTCAGCTCACGCCGCACCCAGTGCAATCCTGTGAAGCGGAGAGGCTACAACCCAGAAGTCCCAGGATCAAGCAAATCTCTTGCTTCTGGCCCAATTTCTTTTCCAATCAGAAAGAAGGCGAACCAAAAACACAAAACAAACCAGAAATAGAAAATTCATCAAAATTCAGCTTTAATGTCCCACACAGGGTCCCACACAAGTGTTGCCCAAGGGCCTCTAGCAGCTCGAACTGCCGGGGCTCCTTTCGCAACAACATCTCAGTCTCCAGTGCGGAGGCATCGGCCTGCGAAGTGCAAAGGAAGCAACCCTCAAGCTTTCTACAAATGCGGATCAACAAGGTCAAAGCAGCTGGGACTGTTTTTACTTGTTTCCTTCGGCGGATTGCATGTATGAAACAGGAACACCCAAATCTTCGGACAGTCACATACTTTCACATCACCCAGGAGTCCCAGGATAATTTACGGAATTTCTGGAAGGAGAGCCAGCAAAGCCAATCATGTTTTGCCCGTAAGGAACGCAAGCACCTCCTGTCCCTGAATTTCATAGGCCAATGAAGGACCTCGATGGCAAGTAAGGTACTCGATGACCAGCCTCAAGCCTTCCCACAACTTATCATAGACAAGACGCGGACAGAGACAAATCACAATGTGCGTGTCAAGGTGCACACTCCCAGATTGATCAAGGTTAGCGCTACGGCACCTGAAGATCATGGGCACAACCCACCAAAGATTCTGAAGCATTAAGACATGTGAAGGCAACCATTTGCTATCTCCTCTTGCCAAGACCCCTTTGAGTCATGATGTTGACTTTCTCAAAACGGAAGCCATTCACGTTTCGCGGCAAGCTGCAAGAGAGTCACCACCCAGGACTGTTTTGATCATTTTAATCTTCGCTCTACATAGGTGGGAACTCGGACGCATACCCCTTCATTCAATTGCTCAAAACCTTCTTGAAGATCGGGGAGGACATAGATGATCGATACTGTCACACAAAAAGCTGGAAATCGAATTGAAAATTGTAGTGTCACTTGCTTAGTTCCACCTCAACATCAGTTGTTCGCCCACCCGAATCATAGCTTAAACTTCGGGTGAGCTCCCATCGCTTTCGTGTCGTTTCGCGACTTCGACCGCCAATCCCCTTTCAAGGGACTTACACCCATCACACTGCAAAGATGAAGAACACCAGGCGCCAGTCTCTGAGCCGGTGATTAAGCCTCGAGGAGCCCAAGGGGCAATGTCTTGGCACATCAGAGGCGAAGTCATTGGACTGAGCGTATAGCTTGTACTCCAACCACAAAAAAAGAAACGATCCGTGACTCGCAAGCAGCACCAGTCCCTTCTCCAAGTGTTACCCATGGCGCCCATTGCCAAGCAATCCCAAGTGCCTGTGCGTAGACAGCTGGCAGGCCCAGCGGTTCGAGCCACAAAAATGCAGGAGATGCAATTATGACCGGCCCACCCCCGAATCCCAATGTTTTGGATCACGTGTCGCATTCTTTTGTGCAAAGCAGTGCATCTGTGCGAGAATACATGCTGCGGGAGTGATTGAAGGCACGGGAAAGACAAATTCCCAGCCAGTTACAAATAGACAACGGTGCTCTGAAGAGATTTTGTTGCACTTGGAGGCGGGCATGTCCATCTGCCTGGCAAGGACCTTGCAGCTCCAAGGATTTCAAAATTGCTGGAAAATGCATCACACGGAAAGCTGTAAGCACAACCTATTATTTCACATCAACTGGTTGACCGCTACTAGGAGCAAGGGCATCGCTACTGGGGGCTCGTGGCCTTACTACTAGGCGCAAGGACGCTACTAGGAGCAAAAAATGCAAGCTCACTTTTTGTCCGACCGAAGCTGTCAAGTTCCGCAGGCCTTGGTGAGCATTGAGTGGACACAGGGAATCTGGAACTTCTTGGGATTGCTGGAATGGGCTAGAAAGCACCCATATTGCCACCACTTCGCACTACATGTATGAAGGCCTCGATTGTTCAAGGCTTTGGCATCAGGGGCAACAGTCCACATACCTTTTGCACTTTTGGCGGAGCAGTCGGGAAAGGGCTCGGACAAAGAGCACTCGCAAAAGTCCACATCAACATGGCCCTGCTGCGCTCTCCTTTCCTGGCATCAGGCCCAAAACACTAGCCGGCAGTGGAATCTGGCTCCTATGCACTTTCTGATCCAGTTTGTCAACCCGTTGTCGCTCCTGAATGAGTCGCCACAAACAAGGTGAGCTAGCGGGATTGAAGCCTACACACATGGAGGTATGCAGCTGTGCGCAAAGGTTTGCAAAGGCGTGCAAAACCCAATCGAACAAAAACCTTCTCACCACCAGGCTCAGCCAGGTGACGGTGCATGACCATGACAGGTAAGTGGGCATTTGGTCCAGCACAATGTTCTTTGAAGTCCTGAGGCGAAATGGAGGTGCCTAGCTTGAGCTCTGCAAATTGAATACAAAGGAGTACATGCATGTTGTTGAGAATCATCATAAATTGATCATTATATTAGTTATATCAACCGTAGAGCGACTCCAAATGCCCAAGCAAGTAACCAGTGGCATGGCATCCTTTCGTTGGTGTGGAACCACACGCACCTCGTCGAGGTAGCAAAATGTGGAAAAGGTACGCATCAAAATCACTATCCAAGATCATCCAAGCCTTTCCAAGGTTTCAACCCAACAACGGGGGGGTTATCCTGCTCGGAGAAAGGATCTCCCATTGTCCACGCCTCACCACGCTTTGCCAGCTCGAGGATGTATAAGCCCACTGAAACATCTTCTCGATAGGGAAACGGCTCTAGGCGACCATCGAAGAGAGCTGTCCCTAAAGGGATCACCACATCCTCTGACAGTGCATAGGCCATTCCACGGGCATAAGGTGGGTAATACCTCATTCAGTCACGGCCTGCATTATTATCAGGCACTCACCGAATGACCAGTTGAATTGGAGGTCTGCAAGGTTCGGCTCCCTCTGCAGACAAGTTGCTGCATTGGGTAGACCTGCAAGAAATCAGCTCAGATCGTGACAGACCCAACAATTGACAACTTGGCCTCATGGGGAACAAAGTACTTGTCGGAGGCAATGCGGTTGGGCTCTACCAATGCCATGACCTGAAGGGTGCAACTGGAGAGTTGTGGGGGATGTCACCCCATCCAATTGCCAAGGCACATGGCCCCACAGCAGGCCTTAGTCTCGAAGCTAAAGGTGATCACGAGAGGCTGATGTTGTGTGATTGCGGCAGGCCTACGGGCGCACTGGCAATAAGGTCAGCCGTCACAGTGTCAATGTCCACGAAAGCGTCGTCATCGCATTTGATCAGGAAACGCAAGTGGCGCCTGAAGCAAGGTTTCAAGAGCCTCATATTGAGAGATCAAGTATATAGTTGAGATTTTACGCTTGTTATGGGTCACGTTGGGGTTGAAGCCACTTCCGAGTAAGGAATATGCTTGCACTATGCCAATGCAAGTGAAACATGTGGGCACCCACTTGAAACCCCTTGACCGCTTGCCTGGAAGTGCTTGTTTGACCAGACACATCCTGCGGCTGAGGGGAGCATGTTTCTCGCTTTGGATAATTGCGCAATGCAGCTGTGAGACTAGTCATCCAACCTCAATACCTTTGGCCTCAGTCTTCTGGCCTTGAAATAGTCCCCTCCAAACTTCAGAATGGCCGCAGTTTTCAGCCAAATACTTCCAAAATCCTCCTCCAGCTCTGGTAGCAGCCTTCCATGAGTAGAGTAGAAAGGAGTGTCATGCTTGGATCTGACCAACTGCTTTCAACTCGAAGCAATGCTGGGAACACCTCAGGCCCTAGGGAACAGACCACCAAACATGCAGCCCAATCACACAACGTCTTGTAGCTGGGCTTGTTCGTCCAGAGCTTCATCTCCCCGCCCCAGGAAGAAAAGCACCTCAGGGCGTCCAAAGGGCAGCAAGATTCACAGAGCCAAGAAAGTTGTGAACTTGTTTGTGTTTGCCTGCAGAATTGCCTCCTGTCTGCGGGCCGCATCGTGTCATGTCACGAAGTAAGGGTGTTGGCAATGTGATGTTGGCTTTGGATCCCCAAGTCTGTCGGTCGCTCTGCTATTCAACTATAACTATCCGTACATGACGTTGCTCCAAGCATCCCGGCCCTCAAGCGCACCAGGCCAAAGTGGGTGCGAAGCATGGGCTCGCTTCCCCACGTCTGCCGAATGATGTCCCTCAAGTGCCCTGAGTTTGCACGACATTCGACATGCTCTGCCATCATCTGCTTTCAAGACTGCTTGGGCGGGAGGCGGCTGAGAGAAGTAGACGAATGATAGTTGTTGGAGATGGACAGAAGTCCTCTGTCATTTGGTATGCCGTGCCGTTATCGTGCGGTCCAAGCGTCGGTTTCCAACGGCTGAGGCGATGCAAACCACCAGCTCCATCACATAGGATGAAGAATCCTGCTTGCTCGCAAGGAATGTGTGAGCCTCTTCTCCCTCCCAACCCCCTATATAATCAATACGTCTTTACGTGTCCAACAATGTGTAACTTAATGGCACTCGTGCATTCTCTGAACCAGTTGAGGCTTGGCCTATGGCAATGGTCAACAACACATGGGGTGTCCTCGGAGTGCGAGAGCTGAAGCAACTGCTGTCGCTGCGCGGCGCTGGCCAGCAACAGAGCTCGCACGCGGGGATCTTGGCGCCAATACAAGCGGCCTCACTCGGACTCGGGTTGGTTTGGGTATTGGAGCTGATGGGGCAGTTTATTCACCAAGCAGGGGATGCCTTCCGGAGGGGGCAACGAAAGAAATGCATCTACATGCATCTACACTCTGTACTAGCCGAAGCTGTCCAACATTGGATTCTAATCTGCCAAGGCGAGGTGCTCAGGAAATAGTTTCCTTGCCGCTCCATGAAGACGCGCGTGCCATGCTCCAGAATACCCTGGGGCAATGGAAGGGACGTGCTTGTCGGATTTGCTGGTGTTGCATGACTTGCCACATAGCTTTGAAGAAACATCTCCAACTATACCCATGAATGTCATACTTGAAAAAGAAGCTTGGGACTGGTCTTCATCAGGACTCTTGTAGAAGAGTCCTGTAATTCGCTTTGGCATGGTCGCCTCGGGTGAGGATAAGGTATGGATGATGCCCACCATCTCCTCCGCTGTCTCAAAGCGCCAGCGCGTGAGCAGTACATTGCGTTCCTCCGGCCCCGCCCAGCTTGTTGGAAAGACTCTACACCCGGCAAGATTGCAAAACCAGGCCTATGTAAAGTTCCTGTGACACAAGTACCTATAGGACCTATACCCTATGTACATGTTTCTACTGAGATCTTGGTGCTGGGCTGCTGGGCTCGACGCCCAACATGCACTGCGCAGCAAGCTGCATCACCTGGCTGAATGCCTGTTGCAAACAAGCAGCTGAGTACTCATAGATGGAGGGTGTTCCAAACCAAATTGGCGAAATGCCACGAGCAATGCACTCCAGAAACTCGTAGCTGATATCCTCCCAGAACATCAGCCGGTAGGGAGCCTGGTCACCCTGCAGGGAGAACCGGGAAGCGAAAGGTGGCTTGATGAAACAATCTTCCTTGTTATAAGCACTGTAGGTGCAAAGCGGACCATGCCTGGTTCTTACTGCAAGTTCTTAAGGAAACTAATGATAAAGGCCTTTCCTGTCGAATTGGGTTCCCAAACCGTCAACCCTGTCAGACTCACCAGGCGATGCCTTGCAATCCTCTTCTGTGAGGCAGACCGTGAGCATATCTTGACGTGAGAGGTCCATGAAAAAGCTATTCCAGTAGTCTGGATCCTGCACCACACCGCAACTCAGGGTGCAGCGCAGCCAGCGCAAAGGCAGCCATCATAAAGGTGATAGACACAAGAAGAAGAAGAAGAAGAAGAAGAAGAAGAACAGCGAGAGAGAGAGAGAGAGACAGAGAGAGGAAAAGAAAGAAAGAATCAAGGGCATCAAAAAAGAAAAGAACTAGCCGCTATTTGAACAAAAGTTCAGGTTCTGGAAAAGCATCCAGGCTGCTGTCCTGCAGCCATCTCTGGGGATTTGTCTGGGCTTCTGCCGAGTACACCTGAAATAGGCTCCATGGAGGGCTCAAACCCATGATTTCAAACCAGAATCTCGGATCTGCATCATCTGATTGTATTACTCAGATTCCCCGGCCCAGGCACACTATACGCGTGGAAGGACACTGCTCGCGTGACCCGGGGCAAAGGCTCCCCTGGTGCCCATGGCAAAGGCACCATGGGCGCATCCGGAGCCTCATGGGGATCCACGGGGAAGATCCGGCATTGGGGTGGCTGCACTCGGAAGGTGTCCAAAAGATATTCATCCTGACAGAGAGCAAGGGAGCAAATTGGAGGCAACAACTTCCTTCACATCTGCACCGTTCCATTGTAAACTGCACTTGCTACTGCACTCAAAGCTGGATATGACCAGCGCTCCTCAACCAGCAACGCATGGTACAGGTCACACAACTGGTACTCCTTTGGTACCCAGTCAAGTGTTGGTCCACGACCCTTCGCCCAAAAGACGTGGAAACTGCAGCCTTCCTGACAACAAAATGACAGGGAAGGCCAATGCTGCTCATCGAAAATAGAATGTGTAACCAAGCAAAACAATAGACAGAAACCGCTATCTGACACAAGGCCAGCATCTAGCCGCACAAACATCAACAGTAGAATCATGCTGCTCCGGCATACGAGGTACAAATGGACCTTGCCGCACTGAGTCTGCATCCAGCTTCAAGGCTAGTGTTTGCGTGTCGCTGGTACCACTTGCCATGAAAACATCCAATAACACGCAATCCTTGGTGGGGACGAGCGATGACCTTCTCAAGCGTGGCATCATAACGACACCCCTTGCCTAGCCAGAGGGGGCCTTCAGTGGCTAAGTCTTCCACCAAGCTGCTCCAAAGACACTGGGCTGCTGCCTTACCTCCAGGCGCCCGGAGGTGATGTGCAGCTGTCGCACAGCCAGGGATGAAGCGCTCCCATGCAAGCGGGGCAAGGCCTGGCAAACGGCAGAGCGAAAGGATTCTGAAATTCAAGGCTAGCCAGGCTAGCGGCTAGTTGGTAGCAATAGCCAGATGAATATGCAAAAATGATCAAACATGTGCATAGAACGAAGCCTATTACCACCATAATCAGCCGGTGTCTAGGCATTATTTAAACTATGACTCATACAAATGGGCACAAATGGGCACCGGTCGCAGGACAAACACTGTGACTCTTCTTCGGTCTAATCCTCCTGTTGGCGTGGCGCCTCCTGCCATAGCTGTGCCAGCTCCTGCCAGGAGTGATCTGCAAAAGAGTTTTACATGCACACCTGTAGGGACAAAGCCTAGTCCTCCCCTCTACACCGACCCAGCTAGTGGAGGTCCTCCTCAATCAAAGCTTTCGTCACCAGCAGGCAGCTAGGCAAAAGCTTCAGCCACCGGCCCATTGCAGCAGGTCGGATCCGATGTGTTAGACTTGAGGCCGAGGGCAGGTGACGAAAGCTACAGTAGCAGGGATGCATCCGTGTCAGTGGAGGCGAAGCATACAGCGCCGTCCAGTGACAAAGGACTGGTGGGACATCAAGCGGAGTGAGGCAAATCTTTTTTCATAGGCATGGGGCTGTTGGAGGGATGGTTCACAAGGTCTCGCTCATGAGGTAAAACGTTGTGAACATGTAAGACACGCGAACAGTAATGACACGGCCAACCTTAGCTTGTGAATCTGTTGAATCTGTTGCATCGTATCCCAAAACCTCCACGGAGGAGTTGAACCAAGTGGATGCCATAAGAGGTGTCCAAGAGGTGTCCGTCCCAGAGGCGTCCCAGGGGGGAGTTGAACCCGCGGGGGGGGGGGGCCTCTACACATGAACTTTTCACAAGATGCGGCGATCTCGAGGATTCCAGCCCCTAACTTGCTAAAGCAAGGACAACTCCAGCTAGCTGATGCTAGCTTTCGTGAAGAGTGCCGTCATTCCCAGGGCAGGTTAGCTGAGAATGAAGGATTTGGGGGTAGCCCTCCAGCCGGTTCAGAGTGTGCTGTTGTGCTGGTTGCGCGTGCTATTCGAGGTGGCACTCGAGTCACCAACACGGATTCAAATACAAAAGGTTAGTCTGCATGCATGGCTTTGCTTTGAGAAAGCGCCATGGACATTTCAAAGGCCAAGCCTATCAACGTGGACTTGGAGGCCATACCAAGTGCAGCCTTGCAGGTCCCTTGACAACATCTCGAAACTTGGACTCTTGGAAAGTCTGGAAGCTAGTGCTGAGGGCCTGGGGGTTCTTGTTGACACCAAGAGTGAAAGCTAAGATGAGGTCGAAGGCGAGCCTGACGATTGCGAGAGCAGTGGCTGACTTGTCAACAAGCTGTCGGTTCTAGGCACGGTCATCTGACGGGGGAACCATGCTTTTTCCACGCGCTAGCCATCAGAATCACTTGCTTCTTCCATTGGCTCTGCGGATTGTTCTACCTCCTGGCCAACACCTGACGCACACAAATGCAAAGGGCCAGTGACCAGTGACAAATCAACGCTGCTTTCAAAACCTCAGGCCTGATTAGTCCACTGATACTTTAGGTCAACAAGCTCACATCAAGGTACTGGAATTCCAGCTCCTATGGAATTCTGACCCAAACCCAACATTGCTGTTTCCCTGTCACCAACCTGCCGCTCTCCGCGCCGCACTGATGCTTTTGCCTTCTTCGATGGCAGATCTGAGGGCCTGACAATGCGGGTGCCGCCAAAATAATGACTCCAAAAGAAAAGCAAAACATCCGTGAGAGCGAACAAGTCCACAGAACGGTCTTGCAGTGTCCAAATAACGAAACTCGCTAGACCGAAGGGGGCCCCAGCCCAGTCAGTGGCCAAGAAGCTGCCACAACTGAATCGTCTGGAGTTTCTTGACAAAGTCCAGCCAGTTCGTCTGGCCATGCCCACAGAACTCGCCAGCCCATGGCCTCCGCGATTCCAAGCCAGGAGGTGGACAAATGCGATGCAGCCGGCAATTATAGATGCAGCTGGTGCGCTGCTTCCTTCTCATTGGGGGATTTGGTTGACTGTGAATTAGGTGCAAATGAAATGCCTTACAACCCACCTTGAGGGTGGCTTCCATTAGCCGCGCATGGCCCGTGAGCTTGTTGCCAGAGGTTTTGTGGGCTGCCCTGGGCACCACAATACCCAAGCACAGCCTGGCCAAATGATCTCAGAATCTAAATTGAAGTGCCCTAAGAATCCTGGAAAAATGCACATGTCCATTGATTCGGAATAGCAACATGCGCTGCAAGTTGGGCATGCCATCAGATTTCTCTTCACGCGAGGAAGAATGTCTAGGCTCGGCGCCTCTCAAAACCAAAGTCCACCACAAAGGGCGTACCAGGCACCTGACACCGGATGTTGGGTTGGCAAGTCTTTGTGCACCTGTCACAGTAGAACACCGACGGCAGTGCACAGCGACGAATCGTGTACCTGACAAAGAATCCTGCAGCGTACTCAGAAACACACAGGGAGACTTTCCACACAGATTGACAAGGATCCGTCCTTGACATGGATACATATCATATTATCATAATGATATTTGGTCATGGTTATTAAGATCCGAACTAGACCTCGGGGACATGTTTGTCGCGTTCTTTTCAGCTGGCTTTTGGGGGTGCCTGGGTTCTTTCCCAGATACCCGCCCCAGAATTCTATCAGGAAAACATCGGAGGCTTGATCGGGGCTTTTCCAAGCATCCATATAGACTTGAGAATCAAAGAAGTGAAGCTAACCAAGTGGCTGCCCCTTTGCCAAATTGACCCGCCTGGAGCTGTTCCTCGCTGAGCTGCGCCGGCAGCGCAGACGCGAGCGCCAGACGGAGATGGTCCTGTAGCTCCTCGTCGAAAAAAATCGCACGGTCGCTTCGCCCACCCCTTCCCTTTGACCGTTTCGCCATGTTCTAATGGAAAGGAATCCAGTCGATGCTAGGTGTCAACCTACTTTGGCCTCGGCCGAGCTAGGAGCTGTACTGTACAATTCTTGGTCTATTTGCCGGCAGGGACGTCCAACTCTGGATCAGCCCGCCCTCGGTGCGCCTGCGTCTGTCGATTTCCTTCCAGCCCAAATGCTGGGAGTTTGCTGTCCTGGAGGGGAGTTTCTGTGAAGCCTTGGGCATCTTCTTAACCCACGTCACTTTATGTGGTGGACCACATGCACATACTAGACTCCTAAGCGGCCGGCCCAAGAAGCACAAACCCAAGTGAAGTGGTCAAATCGGTCGCTGCTCCTTCGGTGGGAACACAGACCTATCCAATGCTGCAGCGTTTGGCGCAAGCCTGGCGAAGGATGCTAAAGGGCCCTTAGGCCTTAGGCCATAAACTCTTGGTGGTCAAATCATGAATAGTCTCAGGGTAAACCATCCTTGAGGGAGGGGTTCTTGGAACTTGGTCAGGTCTCCAGCCTCAAGTTGGTCCACGCGGTTTTGGATGACAAATGCCGTGCAGCCAAGGCCAAAGCCCAGAGCTTCGCACAAGACTCAGCAGATTTCACCTCCTCAGCAACTATAGAGATGCTGTGTACTGGAGGGAGTGACCTATAAGACAGGCACAGGTGAGCAAGACAATGAGAAGATGATTGCACCATTGAGTAGAGTCCGTCGGCACGATGCAGTCAATGTAGTGCCGTGTAAAATGTATATACAGTACACGCTTTTTGGGATGTACACCCCGTGGGACATGTATTACCAGGTGGTGCAGGATTGTATCTCTCACATACATGGGGATTCCTGGAAGCATGTTCTACAACTGTGACATGAGGATAGCATCACTTCTTGCACAGACATATAGTCATCTCAAAGAAGGTGGTGTACAACCCAAAGAGCACGGTCACCATTCGTGTTTGAGACTTTGTATGAACCTCCGCAAACTTCCCAGCCCGCGCATCCGTTTCGTGAGAAGGGGCGGCTGCACAGTGGGTAGCCAAGACCCACGCGTATGCAAGCATGTTGAACGGCAGCTTGCCACCATGCAGCCCAGCAAGAGAAAAGAGCAGCTCTACCATCCCATCGCAAGGTTCAGGATTCCTTGTAGGGCGGCCAGCACACAGCACACAAATCACCGGTGAAGCCCTGCACAAGCAAGCTTTCCACATCAGCATCACCTACGCGCAGAAAGTAACGTATCAGACCCTTTTCTCTTGGTCTTGGTTTGCAGCTAAGCTTCCTTGCCAGGACGCGGAGTCCCTTGTAGAGCATGGAGTTGAAAATGGGCTCTTCCAAGCCCAAATCTGCCAAGGCCGCACAAACGACAGACATCACCTCCTGGACCTTCTCAGGCTTCTCTGGCATGTGCTCAAGAAGGAGCTTACACACCTGCACGTAAAGGATGAGCAGCCTCTGAACCGAAGAAAGAAGCAACCACCATGGCAGCCTAATGCTATAGCGGTTGCAAACCCAAGTGACTGACTTGCAGGGGGAAATGAAAGAGAGTACCGTCACAATACCTACCGTTGAAGCCGGCACGGCAGCCATAGAAGCAAGGAGCAAAAATAGAGAGAGAGAGTTGTGTTGCAGTTGGTACCAGTGCAGAAATGGTACCAGATAAAACTACTCTACTTCGAGTGATCCCCACCATGACATTTAAATCTGATAAAATTTCTGGCGTGTATTGAAACATTATGTCGGCATTCTGACATGTCTTCTGACATTCTTTCCGTCATTTTTCTGGTGTATCTTCTGACACTATTTCTGACATTCTTTCTGGCGTTCTATCTTGCATATCTTCTGACATTCTTTCTGACATTCTTTCTGGCATATCTTT